ATATATATATTATATATATATATATATATATATATATATATATATATATATATATATATATATATATATAGTTCCAACAATAACCGAGACATAGCTTGGAGGCAGTTTTGCTTTCACGCACTGACAAGCCTACGGGGCTAAGGCTTCCCTTTGAGCCTGTTGCTGTCGGGTTCATGAGGCAATGCTAGACTGTTGCATTCGTAGATGCGCAATTAAGCGAATGACGGGTTTGGGGGGAAAGCTTGGGCGGCACGGTTCAAGGTGCCTGGCAGGCACCAGCGACTGCCTTACGTAACTACTGCATCTTCATGCACCACCCAGCAAAGACAGTGGGGGTGGGCTGGGCTGTTGCAGCATACGTATTTAAAGGCGCCACGCACTGCTGGATTGCAGCACTTCTTGTGCTGCTTTGTAGCGTGCTCAACACGCAAAGCACAATCGTGGTGTTAGCGCTTGGACTGCCTTCTTAAGGCGACCCGTACTCTCAGATCTACCTTAAGACAGGCCAGCTTAACTCCTAAATGCCAAGCTGCCCACCAATTTTATATTGATACATATGTAATATATTCCACAAAAGCATTCATGTCAAGGGGAAGCAATTGTAAATGCCACTCAGAGGGTTTATGAATGCTTTTCCGTGTGCAACTCTTAAAAATATGCTGGCTACAAAACCATTAAATTGTTTCTACTGATGAGTGTGACTTCTCATGGTGGTTTTATTGGTGCTGTTGCTGCTGCTTGTTCGGCAGAGATCTTGCGATGGGCGTCTTCCGTTGCCTGTGCTTATGGACTTGTGTTTAATCGGTGGCAACAGCTGTCTGAATTGCTGGCTTCTGTGTTTAGAGTGGAGGCTCTGCCCTGACGAGGAAGTTGAGGGATGCTGCTGCTGCGCCTGGCTTGTCAGTGCATCTGTTAGCATGCTGTCGCCTATCCTCGAGCCGACATTGCAGCTTGAACGCCGCGTCTTTCGAGTTTCTCCCGACGGTGATGGGAAGTGCGACATCCGCGAGCTGCACGTGTTGGTGCTGTGAGCCCTTTGCCTCCCTTCACGGCTTCTGCTGGCCAACAGAGATTCATTTCTTGTTAGCAGTGATGCACGTCGGTACAGATCTTGCTTCTGCTGATGATCCCCAAGACCACTTCTTGAGGAGGCGGATGCTGACTTTGATCGCCTCATCGGACTCCCCGCGATTTGGTTTTCGCGTTCCCTCATCGAGCTGCTGTTGCAGGAGAGTTGGTGGGACGGAATCGTCAGGAGAGAGTTCAAAGGCGCATTCGAAACGCTGCGANGCTGTTGCAGGAGAGTTGGTGGGACGGAATCGTCAGGAGAGAGTTCAAAGGCGCATTCGAAACGCTGCGACTCGAGGGGTTTGTGGATGAAGGACCCCCCCTCCCCGCTAATTTGGAGCTGGAGGGCTTGAGTGCAAGACTAGGGGGAGGCACAGACACTCGCGTGGCATCATTAAAACCTCCCTCCTCTGGCGGGCCTGCAGACGTTGGTGCACCCGCCTCTTGCTCTGCTGACTTTGGGTCTCCATCTTCTTCCAGGCCGCTGCAACCATCTTCCACTTCGCTCGCATTGTGGTTGACTGTCATGGGGCCCAGCCACGAGAGAATAACGGGTAGCAACACCATACCGTGTGCAGCTCCAAATAAAACAACCTGTGAAGACCAAAGTGCAACAGTAAAAAAACGCAGTACAAACACATGCTGTGGATGCCAACAAGTAACACCTAAACTCGAGCGGTAGGATAAAGCTACGTAGGAGTACAGGCCCTTGTGCTTAATGCTTGCATGCAGTGCATACACTTTTTAAGTACATAGGAGCCAGTGACGGGATAAGTATACAACATTTTTGATGCAGCAGCGCTCCTTTATGTACAACCCTTTGGGGAGGCTGACGCACCATGACCATCATGCGGAAGAAAACGGTGAAGACGAACGATTCGCTAAAACCAAGCAACAAAATACCAAGCAGTGTGGAGGAAGCCCCATGAAAGAGGGGATTGCCCATTAGCACGAGAGCCTCTATTGCCCTGAACAATGCACAGCAGCCATTCGCAGTGAAGGTTAGTAGAAACACCACCCGCATGTATAGCGCGTGTGCCCCTCCTTGCCTTGCAGCAGTAGGCTCAACGAAATTACACTTTTGTGTATTTGGAGGCGTCCTTGTCGTGTAGATGACACAGCATGTGACCTTCAACGAAAACATAGTAATAGTTTTGTGAAGGGTTCTATGTTGCTGGCGAATATGAAAAAAAATTTTTAGAATGCTGCTGGGGTGTCGCAG